CCTTTCTTTTTTCCCTGCCTCCTTCCTCCTTTTGTTTCTTTGTCTCTTTGTCTCTATCCATTCTACCTCTGCTTTAAATGCTGGATGTAGCAATCGTCTCTTACAAAGTCTGATATGAAGGACAAAAGGGGTTGTTAAAACTGCAAGAATCATATGAAAGAAGGACTAGTGTGGGGTCTTAACCCACAGCCTGGAAACCTCAGAAGTCTGTAGGAGGGCTTGAGAGACCCCAAGGCTGCACACTATTTTCTTTGAGCGTGTAAGTGGGGAAAATCTTTTGTCCCTTAGTGCAGCTATGTCTTGGTTTTATCCTTTGAGAATAGACCAATTATACAACTTTATTTTTCTTTTTGGTGAGCTGTCTTTGGAAACCGTGTAGGCCATTCATAGTTTTGAGATGGGGAACATTTCAATGCCAAGTACAGCTTGAGTTGGACGGGAAATCTTAGTGTTCTCTGCACAGATGGGGGACCTGTGAAGCTGGCGTGTCCCCAGCCCTTGCTGCTTCGCTGAAGAAGGAGGCTCCACATGTCAGACTGTCTACACGGGCCAATGTTAGTGTCAACAGCTCATCCAAAGATCCCCAAAGAGGTCTTTTTTCTACAATGAAAGTCTTCAGCTTCGTCAGAGCCAGAAGTTTGAAGCAGTGCCTTTAGGAGCTCTTTATCCAGATGCAAGAGCACACCATGAATTTCTTTCCTGTTACAGAATTTGTAGCAACCCACAGAGGCTTAAATGTGATTTAGTTTGGCTATTTTTTAGATAATTTTTTCAAAGAAGAAAGGAAACTTCTCAGAACAATTGGATAGTGAGAAGTTTACTAGAGATCTAACTTTATAATGGTTAATTTCATAGGTGAGGCAAGTTCTTGGATTGAAAATGCCTGAGTTACTATTACTTGTGGTGCTAAAAAGCCATGAGCATATTTGGGCTAAATAGCTACTTTAAACAAGTGGCTTTAAACAAGTGGAGACAATTCCCAGTCCTGGAGGTGAGACCAAAAACCCCTGGAGATTTTCCAGGAACAAAAATCTGGACACTTAGCAAATAGTTTGCATCTTATGAGGGTTATTTTTTTTTGTTAATCTGAAAATTGGAACAAATTACTGACATAGCCTTGATATAGGATGATTTCATTGATTTGAGGACAAACAAAATGATGTAATGTGAACTCAATTAGAAAGTTTTGGTATTTTGATGGATGTTAATGCATGCAAGATGTTATGAGCCATCAGAGGTCTGACGCCATTTTGTGGCTAACAGAGATTTTATGAATCAGAATTTTACCCCTGATGCCATTAAATTAAAATACTGAAATTAATATGACGTCTAATACTTAATTTTTTATACCAGAAAAAAAATCACAACTATTAACCTGCAATAGCAATACTGCTTGTCGATTGAGCACTGCACACGAGGGCTGGTTCTGCTACTTACATTGTAGAAAAGAAAGGCACACACAAGACAAATTTTGTGGTTAAAAACATGGCTGAAAATGGATGTGGGAGAATGGGACAGGGTCGTAGAAGAAGAGGGAAGTGCCTTTTTTTTAAGATGTTATTAAATTTATTGCTGGACATCAGGGACTTGGAAACTGGGAAGTGGAATTTTCCAGGGACAAAAATCTATGTACGCTTGGCAAATGGCTTATATCTTATGAGGTTTCTCTTTTGTTGATCTGAAAATTGAAACAAACTGCCCACATAGATAGCCTTGATATAGGCCTACTGGATAAACTCCTCTTGTAACAATATTCCTTTGGGATCAACATATAAATGTCAAAAGGCAGCTGTTTCCATTCTAATTCTTAGCCTGACTAGGTCCTTTCCATTTTGTTAATTAGTGCAGAATTGTGATGAGCTCTACAGGTATTTTCTAAGAGGATAACTGGTAACTGAAGAATGGGGACCAGTCTGAAGGGCACTGTATTCAAGTAGAGTCTTCACGAGTTATTTTCAACTGTCTCGAGCTCTGTAGAGATGCTGCTATTACCGAATAGCATGTACAAATGCTTTTATTTGGAGTGATGCATCCCAGTGTGAGCTGTCATGTAGTATAGAGCTTTACACTATTTTTCTCCCTCTCTAGAGTTGTGATATGAAAAGCATTCCTAATATAACTGAAAGGTGTTCTTGAGTTTGCCAAAGCAAATGTATGTTCTTTTATATTTAAGAATTTGAGAGTCAGGGATCTATGACAGTAGATGTAGAATGTACTCAGATTTTTACATTCTGAAAATTTCTATTTTCTACTTAAAATCTCTAAAGAGATTAACCAGCCAGGGAGGTAGGGATTTTTTTGTGCTTGAAAAGGGTGTTAACAGATCATCCCTGCTGAGATTATGTCCCAACAAAACTTTGTAAGTTGAAAACGTCTTTAATACATCTAACCTACTGAAGGTGACAGCCTAGTTTGCATTAAATGTGCTCAGATTAGGCAAATCATATAATATAAAATACACTTTGTAATAAAATACTGAGTATCTCATACAACTATTGAATGCTGTATTGGGTAAAATGGTTGTGTGCGTACACTTTTGCACTCTTGTAAAGTCAACAAATCATAAATGCTTGGAAATATTCTTAAATTGATCAGTGTAAGTTCCAGGGTGGATTGGGTAGCAGGGCATCTCTGTCTTTAAAGATGGTGTGGACTGAGTACTCCATGGAACTCTTATTTAGCACAGAGCAAGATTTGGGGGTGGAGGAGGTTTTTACCTTTGAATAAAGATCCAGATAACAGAAGAAAGGGCCACTGGAGACAGAATGGTGTGGTTTGCTAGTACAGGCCTACATTACAGAGTTTCAGTATGTGGAGTTTATTTGTAGCATGTAATTTCTAATTCTGTTGCTTTTTTTCTAAAAATTCGTGATGCATTCAATGAACCTAAAATTTTTGATCCAATTTTAGTATGAAAATGGGCTTTAAGAATAGATCTCTCAAACACATTATAGCAGTTATCTCTTACTTTTCAGTTGAAACTCTTTTAGTCAAAGCAAGAAATTATCTTGTGTTGGTTCTATTACTATTTGGTGTTAAGGTTTATTTTGAATCATACCTGGCTTCCTGACAGGGGCACTTTTCTACTTTTAATTAAATGAAAAGAGTAATACAAAGTACGTTTTTCTTATCATTTACTAATGTAAAATAGTAAAATATTTGTTTTATTCCTTTCCATATTGCAAACATACAAGTATTCATAAGTGGAGAGTATTTTCTTAGTTTGAAGTAAATACAACAGGAATATTAACATTCTTTGAAAGTGGAAGGAAACAGAAAATGTTTGTTTACAAAACTTTCAAGCTCTTCATTTGTCTTGCAGTATATGAATATTGGATCTATTTTTTTCCTAGTTCAACGTAGAAAATACGATAGGTCTGTAATTTGCGTTTGCTTCACATAACATTGTGAACAACTTAAACCAAACATTTATTGGGAAACTTTTGTAGGCCGTACCTGTGGAATATAGTCTGTAAGATTCAATTCTTTCCTTGTCTTTCTAAATAAGTCTTTATAATACTTAAGTCTTTTTGCATATATTTGAAGTCCATATTACTTGCTTACTTTTCACACTTTAAATCTTTACAACTATTTAGCTACAATTATTTAGTTAGCAATTACTTCAGCTGGTATGTCACAGATTCCTTTAGGAAACTCTTAGAATTACCAGAAAATTAAAGATTTTTATGAAAAGAAAATAATGTCCCCTTGAAGGCAAACTATTTTATAGTAAACAAACAAACAAAAACCCAAAAAGCAAAACCCACAGCTTCCAAGTATAGTAGGGCTATATTTTTAATAGTAAATTGAGCTGCAAGTACTTAGATACAACCACATAAATTACTAGGAATTTCATATAGCAAATAATATTTTCTGCTTATTAAAAGAATATGATATAAAAGTGAAAATATGGGAAAAATCAGGAAGCATTAGAAGAAGGCTGTTGCTGATTATTTCTTACTTTCGTATTAGTGGTTCAAATGGTTCATATTCAATCACATAAAGCCATCCCAAAATACAAGACAGAAAACCCTCACATGGTCTGGAGAAGATACGGAGGAGAAAGTACATATGTAGTTTTATTTTGAAATATGTAACTACGGATGTACACACCATCTTTAAAAACAGAAATGCCCTGCTACCTAATCCACCCTGATCAATTTAAGAATATTCCCAAGCATTATGGACTAGAAATTTTCATTTGGAAACAAATTTCCATTTGGTCCATGGCGTTCCACTGGGAACCACTGAATGGAAGTTTTTAGGAGTGAAAAAGTTACTTAAAGTGAGGAAAAACCTTGATAGTAAAATGAATTTTTTTTCTGAGGGGCCGGGGCAAGTGAGTTCTTTGTGTTCAACATATTTTTAGCAGAAGCTTGTGGACAAGCTTCTAGAAAAGACAGAGCAAAAACAGATTCACATGTTGTAAATGAGACTGAACCAGCAAACTATAAGTTCTCTTTATAATTCTAAGAAATTATAGCTTATTGACATCTAATTGAACTTTAATGCAGTTTTTTGCCACCATTTTGAATAAGTGAGAATGAAGTTTGTTATTGTCTAAGAGTTTTAGATAGTAAAAATTGCCTATCAAATGCATCCAATATTTGTATTATATTTTATTATGTAGTTGCTATTACTTCTAAAATATGCCCTTATAGGCCATTGATTAATAAGAATCTGTGCAAATAAAGCATCCATATTTAAAGAATCATGTCATTGTAATTGCATGCCTGGAAAAATAGTTCCTGGGATATGTAAAATTTATACTGGGTTGTAAAGCTGAAGTATGGGCCAAGGGTTAACAACCTTGAATTTTGCCCTTAAAATTAGTCTCGGAAAAATCTACTTCATTATAAATACATTACTACTGGGTAAGTGTCCTTCTGATTGATATGCCCAGAGCTACCTTTTTCAACAGTCTTTTAAGCACCAATCCTTCATTTTGGCTCTAAAAATGAGATGGGCTCCTCCTCCCTAGTTGGAACATCAATTTTTACCTGCCAATACAGTTTGATGAGCCTGCTAACACACTGTTCACTTCCTCCACAGAGCCAGAGCATGTAGTCAGCAATCATGGCACTCCTAAGAACAGGAACAGATTTTTAACAAATGAATTTATAGGGCAGAAGGAAAACCATCATAGGCAGAATGCACAAATACTGAAGGAGATTTTGTAACGTGCAAATTGCATTTGTGTAAAATTAAGCAAAACCTAAACCACATTTTAGAGTATAGATTTCTTTGTAGCTAAACTAAAACTATATGAGAAAAGGAACAAGCCATTTGTCTTCCAGATGTTTCTCCTCTTGTACGGTGTAAGAATGTTTAAAGCCTGTATGGGAATGCTTTGTTTTGGTTGTTTTGTATTAAGTCTTGAAACATTGATAGAATAACATTTACAGACTTTAAATGTCTTCAAACCCAGTATGGTATATATCACTAATTATTAGGCAAATATTTAAATATATCAGACTTTACTACAGTTAAGTTTATTCATTTCTGATTAAATTAGCTCTTTTAAAATAAAAAATAAAAAAATCTCCAAGTCAACAAACAATCCCTTTCCCTAAACTTTGAGCATAATTAAATTAGTTTTAGCACCTAAAGTGTACAATCACTGCATACGTCTTATGCTGAGGGGATATTAAAAACTATTGTGCGATGGATATTAATTCATTACTTAGCACCCTTTGTAAAAACTGCTTACTTTTTTGACTGTTTCTTTCCTAGGCCTCTCTATTTCTTTTCTCTAGAGATTCCAAATCCAATTAAATGTGACTAGAAGTAATTCCAAATTGTCACGTTAGCCAATTAAACATATAATAATCCTGTGTACCTAATCACTAGTACTGAAACTTTATTTAAGTAGAGCTATCACAGTGTACCCCTGCATGTTTTTCTTATCTTTGCCTGCAGATACGTGTTGTTTCTTGACATCAGTGTAAATTGAATTAGAAATGTTCTTTCCCTAAGTATCAGTTGTCTGAGACACAGAAACTATAAGCTTACTATAGTACTCTGTTCAAGGAATTAAAATGTTTCCATTTCTGCTCAGGACAGGCAAAAATTTGGACTTTAAAAATTAACAATGGAAACAAACACCAACATTTGCAGGATTACTCAGCTCAGGATTTTTCTCCATACACACGTGGCTTTGGAAAAGACGCTGCATGCTGTTATTTCAGATAAATGGCAATAATCTAAGAATAATCCCTTAAGAATTCTCTCCTGTTTTTCAAAGCCCTTAATGATAAGATAAAGAGTGTTGGGAGGTTTGATCCTCTGTAACTATGCGTGGAGTAGAAAGAAGTTATAAAAAGCACAGATTTTAGAAAGGCAAAAGTGCATTTTTAATATTTGTATTTTGATAGAGGCAGGTGGAAAAGTTTTCTTCCCATGACAACCTGCTTTCCAGGTTTTGGGTCCCTCACGTGCTTTAGTTGGCCATTTTTTCTTCAGAAATAACATAACATTTTTTTCTTTTTTACTAAGATTATCAAGAAAAATTCATGAAAATGAATTTTTTGAAGCATGAAAAAAAAGAGAAAAGATAGTTTTAGATTATAGACCCAATGATTTGGGTTCAGAAAATGGTAAATAGGGTTTCTATATTGTCATTGATGGTCATTCTGGGGTTGGAACAGTTGTGAGAGAAAAGTAGGTATAGCTCCCCCGTGAATAACCGAGGTTTTCTTATGCTTATAAAGCTTTTGGCACTTTGTTTTTGGGTTCAGCATCATAGATGAAAGTTTATACTAATGTTTTTGTAATGAAATGTTGTCGAATTGTTTGCTGTATTCCTGAGTTTGATTTTATTAGACATGGGACTCTTTCAGAAGAACAAAATTCTAACTTTATATTGAAATAAGTGAAGCAATATGATACATTGAATTCATTACTCAACGATATCTCAGTGAAATGCAATTACTGTAAGAGTTAACAAATACTAGTATTCAATAACAAAATGCGATTTCCTAAAGTCTTGCTTTTGCTGAGAGGTCAGGGTGCTTTATTTTTGCAATCCTTGGCATAATCTTGCATTCATATTAGGAACACAAGTCAGACTAGAGTTGCTTCAAACTATGTGATTCCCAGTGGGAAAGGAGTTACGCTTTTACCACCCACCTTCCTTTCTGTTTCTCTATCATACATCTACTCAGCTTTTATGAATCAGGAAAAGTCAGTGGAAGAATATGAAAACTACATGGAAATACTATTATGCTGTGCAACGTTGGGGAGGTAACAGAAGTATTTTTCATCACGCTGAATTTATAAGCAGTAGAGATAATGAAGTCATCAACCTATGGGGAGTCAAGTCCCATGTGGGGTCATAGTTCTGGCAGCCTCACCCCATGGAATAAATTCTTTCTTTTTTGTCTCCATTAGGTCCTTGTGCCTTCTGAGACCCACACCCTAAGTGCTAGGCACTGGGATTCAGAGCTGTTCCTGATGGGCTTCCTCTCATCCTCACTGTTCTAGTCATCTTCCTTTCATTACTCCACTCAATGTTGTTGCTGCATTGCAAATTAAAGATCCTATTAGCTCACTCCCTTTAGCTGGCAGTTGGTGGTTTAATATCTGTCAATTTTGAGACTTTACTCAATGCTAAGCAGCATGCCAAGCTCTTTCTATAGTGGAATGTAAACCCAAGCCATCTACCGTTGGACTAGATTTCATCCAATTGTCCGTGGCAAGCGCTCTTGCAAAACTGTCTTGTTTCTTCTCTTTCAGTCTCCCCCTTTCCCCTGGAGGTTTTCTGCAAAGCAAACACAAATGTTTCTCCCATCCTAAACCAACAACCCCAAAGAGCCTCTTTTGCCTCAGTTTCCCACATCCAGTTATTGTGTTCTTTTCTTTGTTATTATGAAGGAAAATGGCGGTTTCCTTTAGAAAGCTATGTGCACACTCTCTCTGTGCTCTCTCCCTGCTGTCTCTGGGTCTCATGCTGGGACGACCTTCATGCCTGCTGCTTCCCGGGAACTGCTCCTGTCAGTGCTCTCAGTGGTCGCCAGGTTGCCAAGGGCTGTGATTCACTGTTTTCACTTTCTGTGCACTCTCAGGTGCAAGTGATGCAGTTGTGTATCCAGCCTCCATCTGGCACGTGCTTTCCCTTGGCTTTCACAGCTCCACTCTTTCTGGTTTTGCTATTTTACTGGTTCTCACTTCAGTCTCTCATGCTGTCTCCTCATCTCCCTTGATTCCTAAGTGTGGGGTACTCCAGAGAGCAATGCTCAGACTTGTTCAGTTTCTTTTTTAAATTCAATTCTTAGATAACTTTGAGAGTCTTGCTATTTTATTATTATTATTATTATTTTGTTTTGTTTTGAGTCAGAAGTTTATTTTGAGTTTGCAGAGTTGCCCAGGCTGGCCTTGAATTTTAGAACCTCCTGCCTCAGCTTCCAGAGCAGCTGGGATTATATATAACCTGGCAAGTTTCATGATTTTAAACACCAAGAGTATGTTTACAACTCATACCTTTTTAGCCTGAGTCTTTAAAACCTCTAAAGTCTCTAAAATTTTCTGGAAGCTAGCTTCTTGACATCTCTACTTAGATTCCTAAGATTTCTAATTAGCCCTCAGACTTAATGTAATCATACCTTAGACTCTCATCTTTCTTATTTTTTTCTTTCCCAACTTCTAGTCATATTTTTCATCCATCCATTTATTTTTTCTGTTTTTGTTTGATTTTAGTGTTGAGCAACACATATTAACTGAACACTTTCATTGATCCTAGAAGTCTCACATGTTGGAATGTGACAAGGTCCTGTGGGTGTTATTAGGAATGTAGTTGAAGGTACTGTTATGAGGGGGTGGGTCTGATCAGAACCGCTGGATCGTGGGTGATGGTGGTGGTATTGTGTGTGTGTGTCCTGAAAGAGTGTATCTCCCTTCCCAGTTCCTCTCTTTTGTCTTTCTGCTTCCTGGCCACCATCACGTGAACAGGTTTCCTCTACTGCAGGCTCTTCTATCATGCCATTTCTGCGTTAGGACCTGCCAACCATGCATGGACCGAAAGTTCTGAAATCATGAACCAAAATAAATCATTCCTCCTTTAAGACAAGTGTATCAGACACTTTGTCCCAGTGAAGAGATATAAGTACTAAGATACTTATAGAATGCAATGTGATAGTTTGATTTATACACAGGTATATGTTGTGCAATGGTTCATCATCCCAAACATTTATCACGTATTTGTAGTGAAGCATTTGAAATCCTCTTTTCTAGCTATTTTGAAATTATAATAGATTATCATTTATTAGAATCACACTACTATACAGTAGAACTTAGTCATGGTGTATAATCTTCTTGATGATTTGCTGTATTCTATTTGCCATAATTTAATTGAGGATTTTTGTGTCTGTGTTCATTAGGGAGATGCGCTGATTCCTTCCTTTTTTAATAAGATAGGCTAGGGGCTTACCAGTTCTATTTATTCTTTCAAAGAACCAACTCTTTGATTCCAGAACTTATTCTTTGATTTAATTGTAACTTTGTACTCATTGATCAAACTCTTCCAATCTTTCTTGTCCCTATCGTCTCCAACCTTTGATAACCATTCCACTCTCTACTTCTCCAAGATCATTTCCCGCTTCCACAAATGATTGAGAACGTGTTTTTCCTGTGCCTACCACACTTCACTTATCATAACGTCTTCCAGGCTCATTCATGGTGTTGCAAATGATGTGGTTTCACCTTGTTAATAGTATTTTGGTGTGTATGTGTATGACATTATTATATGTATGACAATATCATCATTCACTGATGGTACTGTGAGCTAATTCCACATCTTGGTTAATGTGAACAAATATTACAATAAATATGGACATGGAGGCATCTTTTTGGCAAACTGCTTTCATTTCTTTTGGATACAGATTTGGTAGAGGCATTGCTGAGTCATTTAGATAGTAGTTCAAGCAAAAAACTTTGATGATACCATTGACTTCTCTATTTTTGCCACATTCCCTGTTTAATCTAAGACAATATTGCTGATGTTATCTTTAAGCTGTTCCTCTTATCACTTCTCACTGTCTCTAGCACCAGCACTGGTTCACAGTCTCTTACCTGGATTGTTGCAACAGTCT